CCACCTCCCATTCCAAAGGGCTTGGTTTGCTTCGGGCTGAGGCCTAAAGCAGATCTGACCCCTCCATCTTCCCTGGGTCAGAAAACGCCCAGAGGGTTAACCAGCAGGGGGGCTGGCTGTCTCTGGCCACGGGCCTTGAAGATAAGACCTGACCCGACAGGGTTGTGATGGACAGTTGGCCTGACCAAGAGGCTGGGACTTGCTCAAGGCCACCTGGATAAGGGCTATGGAATATTCTAGTTTGAAACTGGGGGAGGGAGAGTGGGCCTCCCTGCGTCCTTGGGTTACCCTCTGCCCGGCCAAGCACAGACAGCACAGGGAGCCTTGAGCAAGTCTTAGCTTTCCTCTGGGTCCTATTTTCCCCGAGTGTCAGATAGAAGAGGTTGGATGAGATCTGTCTTCTGGGCGCTGTCTCAGTGGCCCTGTAATACCTTGGAACCTGGGCATATCTGACCGCCCTTCCAGCCACCTCCTGGGCCCCTCCCGCCTTCTCCCTCAGCTCCCGGCCTGGGCAATGGCTCAGAGCTACAAAGCTGAGCAAATAAACATGTCCAGGCCCACAGGGGACTGGGGGTAGGGGAGGACGGGCTATTTTTATCACCGTTTGAAGGATTTCCACAGCTGCCTCTGTCGTGTCCACACAGCTTCCCGGTGGCTGTTGGAGTGGCAGGCTTCGCTATGGGAGCCAGGGGAGGGCACACTCCTAAACGGAGCCTGGCCCAGCTCCGCTCGGACCCTCCCCGACCGGGGCTCCGCTGTGGGCAGCTAAGCACTGTCCCCTCCTAGGCTTCCCAAAGGAGGGCCACCCGCCCAGCCAGGGACGCTGTGCTAGGAAGGACAGCGGAGAGTGCAGAGATCTCAGAGCGTGTGTGGTGAGCCAGGAGGGTGGCTCAGGAAAGCCCGAGGGGCTGGTCCGCCCCGTCGAGCAAGCATTGGTTGAGCACCTACAGAATGCCAGGCCCCGCCTGGGAGGCTGTTTCCAACAGCCAAAAAGGATGTGCTAAGTCTTTTGCACAGATTCATGTGAATTCAGTTTATTAATTTAGTGCAGGCAGGCACTGTGCTTAACATTTCAGACAGATGATCTCCGGTCCTGTTCTCTCTCCAAAGTACGCCCTGATCTCACCCATATCTCTCCATTTCTGTCTCCTCCACCCCTGGCCAAGCCCCTCCGCCCAGGCTTTGCCGAGTGATGCCGCAATTGCTCTCGCTGGTCCTCCTGCAACGCTTCTCCGCACAGCACCCAGGAGGAGAGGTCTTCAAAGTAGAAATGAGATCCCAGGGCCCCTCCCCCACCCCAACCCAGGGCTTCGTCCTTGTGCTTAAAGACCCAACTCCTTATTGCTCCCACCTGCAAAGAGGACCTGCGGGGTCTGACACTGACCTATCTCTTCCGTCTGTCTTTCATTCACCTACTGTCTCTCTCTGTTGAAATTTGGATTTCAAGTAGCAGAATAAATAGATTAGTCCATGACATACTCTCAGCATTGACACCTGAGAAGGTATCCTTAGTCTACTCATGGATCACTTTTATTTAGTTAGATACATAGTTATTTTAAATAATGGAGATAGCACCTTCCAAACCATATCCATTGTAATAACATGGATGAATCTTAAAATCATTGTGTTAAGCAAAAGATGCCCAGAAACAAAACATATAGACTGTATGATTCCCGGCCTGTCACCTGCTCTTTGACCTCATCTCCCACCACCTCTGTGACAACTAAGATCCAGCCACACTGGCCTCCCTTTTCTGGAACAAGCCAGGCCCCTTCCTGCCCCCAGACCTTAGAGTTGCTGTCCCCCACCTCCCTTCCCTTCTCCTGTCCCGTGGCTGGCGTTTACTCATCCTTAGGTCTCGATCAGATATGACCCTCTCAGGCCAAAGGTCACTTTCCCTGGCCCCCAACTAAAGGAGAGACTCCCATTCCCACCCCAATCACCCACGGTCCATTCCCTTCATAGCACCTGCCACCACAACCGGAAATAGGCTTTATTTATTTGTGTTGATGTGTCATTGTCTCCCCGACTAGACTGAAGCTCTAGGGGGGCTGGGACCTGCATTTCTCGTAGCTGCCCTCCCCACAGCAGCGCCTGATGCACAGAGAGAAAGTGCTCAACACAAGTTTTCCATGGCGGTGGGTACTAACAATGATTCCATGTTAGAGATGAGAAACCTGAGGCTCAGAGAGGTTAGGCCATGTGCCCAAGGTCACAGAGCTTGGAGGTGGCAGAACCAGGATTTGAACCCAGGTCTGATGAGTTCCAGCACCCATGGTCTTTCTCAAAGAGATCTTCTTGTCCTCATGTGAACTTTCCTTCCTGTTCCCATTATCAGTTGGCCTTTCAGTGCCACCTGTGCAGCCACATGTTGGAGGGAACCCTGGGTCCTTCCGTTGGCTGTCACTCCTGCACCTGCAGCAGGTGGCAGCTGTGGCCTTGATCCATGGGAGACCTGGTGTTCCACCACCTGTTCTGGGAAGGGGCCCAGTCCCCACACCGTACCCCCTGGCCTGTCTTCAGCTCTATATTAGAGCCCCAGGCTCTGCGTCACTCTATCATCTCAGAGGTCACGATGCTCTGGCTGCTGAGCTCCCTCTTATCTGTGGCTCTTGGTAAGCCCCCAGCCTGCGTCTGCACTCCCTGTGTGCACTGGGCTAGGACTCCAGAAATCTACCTCCCACCCTGGGTCCCGTGACACCCAACGCCTGGTCGGGTAGGAGGGCTCTCAGCTTGTAGCTGGGGCAGACTGCAGGGGCTGTGGGCTCGGTGCAGAGCAGGAGAGCAGGGGGGAAGCCGTGCATGGACCAGCTCAGGACACACTGGGAGCACCCAAAGGGCTGTGGCGGGAGTGCTCACTGGGGCAGCCAGCAAAGTATGGTGGTTAAGAATTGGGGCTCTGTGGTTAGACTGCTTGGGTTGGAATGTCCTCTCTTCTGCTTGCTTCACACTCCAACGCTCCTCTGACACCCCCACCCCACCTGGCTCTGTGTCTATAGATCTAGTCTATTCCTGGACTTTCTCCATATTACATTCCAGCTCAGGGCCACCTCCTCCAAGCAGACTCCCATGACTGGCAGATAACATTTGGTTACTGATAACACTTATCAAGTATTTACTATGTACCAGAAAGAATGTCAAGGTTTTATTATTATTATTATTATTATTATTTTAATCTAATGTTGGGCCAGGTGTGGTGGCTCATACCTGTCATTCTAGCACTTTGCGAGGCAAAAGTGGGATGATCACTTGGGGCCAGGAGTTTGTAACCAGCCTAAGCAAGAGCAAGATCTGTCTCTAAGAAAAATAGAAAAATATTAGCCAGGCATGGTGGGGTGTACCTGTAGTCCCAGCTAGTTAGAAGGCTGAGGCAAGAGAATCCCTTGCCCAGGAGTTTGAGGTTGCAGTGATCTATGATGACACCACTGCACTCTAGCCCAGGTGACACAGAGAGAGATACTATCTCAACAAAAAAGGGAATTCTCATAACTGATCCCTGAGGTCAGCACTATTATTGTCCCCATTTTAGAGATGGGGAAACTGACCCTTCAGCCAAGTAGCTCATCCTAGAACAAAGGGCAGAGCTACACTTTGTCCCCAGGCAGTCTTCCCTCAAAGCCTCCACTCTTTGTGACAACAGCTGTCCCTTTTTGAGGGTTCAGGCACTGTTCTAAGTGTATCCACCTCCTCAATCCTCCCATGGAAGGAGGCCACATTTTCATCTGTCTCCCTGGACTGCTGGGGCTCTGGAAACCCCTGCCCTAGTGCAAATGCTCACTGTCCATCTGTGGCTCCTGAGGTCCAGAGAGGGAAAGGGGCTTGCACAGGGTCACACAGCCAGTTTGTGCCATAGCTAGGACTGGGACCCTGGCGTTCTCTTTCCTTTCGGGGACCTCCTGCCTAATCGACACCTCTACTCTCCCTTGTAGCCACAGCCCATGTCCAAACTGCCTATAGGCCCGGCAGCCGAGTTGTCAATGGTGAGGATGCAGTCCCCTACAGCTGGCCCTGGCAGGTAAGAGCAATGCCAGGGCACTAATTCCCACCATGCGATCTGGACCCCAAGCTGGGATGGCAAGGGATCTGGTCTGGACACCATTGCTGCCTTTGCAATAGCCACTTTAGCTTCCAAGGCCAGGAAACCCTTGACCAACCTACTTCTCCTGGAGGTTTTGCCCTGTCCATCTGTAGTCCTCACTGTGCAGTTTGCAAGTTAAAAGTGGAACCAGGGTGTGGTGGCTCGTGCCTGTACTCCCTACACTTTGGGAGGCTGAGGCAGGAGAATAGTTTGGGGCCAGGAGTTCAAGACCAGCATAGGCAATGTGGCAGGACCCTATCTCCACAAAATTTAAAAATTAGCTGGATATGGTGGCTCATGCCTGTAGTCCCGACTACTTGAGAGTCTGAGGCAGGAGGATCACCTGAGCCCTGGAGTTTGAGGTTGCTATGAGCTATGATGGCACCACTGAACTCTAATTCAGGTGAAAGAGTGAGACCCTATCTCTAAGAAAAATGAAAATAACAGTGGAGTCTAGGGTGAAGGTAATTCAAGGGATTGGCACAATAGTGGAATTTCAGGCACTGTGTTTACGGAGGGAGATTTTGAGGGACTCATTTCTAGATCCCTTGAATTGAATGACAGAGCCATCAGTGCTTCCAGCAATAAGGGGTTGAGGGCTTTGCAGAGCCCAGTGGAGGGAAGTGTAGAGGGCTGGACTTGCCATACTGTCGCACAGTAGCCATTAGCCACAAGTGGCTAATTAAGTTTAAATTAATTTAAGTTAAATAATGTTAAAAAGTTAATTTGTCAGCACTAGCTGTAATTCAAATGCTCAGTAGGCACGTGTGGCTACTGGATGCCATATAGAACAGCAAAGATATGGAGCATTTCCATAATCCCAGAAGGTTCGATTGGATTGGGCCAGCGAGCCCAATCCAATATGCTCAAGCATCTGTTAAAGATCGGAGGAGTAAATATTCCGTGCTGCACGCCACCAGGTTTCCATGGCAATGACCTACCCCGCCACTGTAGCGCGAAAGCAGCCGTAGGCTGCACAGGAATGAGCGGTGTGACTGTGTTCCAGGAGACCTTCGTGTGCTAAAACACACCCCAAGCCAGGTCTGCCCACGGCCACAGTTTGCCACCCCGGCTTAGAGGGGGCGTTTGAGCACGAGAAGGGGCAGGGACTGGGACGAGAGGCAAAGCACTCGGGTGAGCTGTGCTGCTCCAGAGGCCCGAGAGCCCTGGAAAGATCCGAGGTCCAGAAGAACGGGGACCTGACAGCACACAGGGCCTTGGGGCTCTCAAGAGACCCAAGGATTGGGGGTGCTTTAGAGGGAAGACAATGTGGGAAGCCCTGGAGGTCACAGGCTTGGGGTGTGGAAGCTTTGGAGAATCAGGATGTGATTCCAGTGGAAACATGGCAGGCCCACCCCAGGCAGTTGTGCAGGTTGTGCACTGCACATTTCAGAAGGGGCACTGTTTTCTGTGTGAATGGCACTCACTAGCGTCGTACAGTGCACAACCTAAACAGCCGTGGGGTACAGACCACTGAGGCTCTCTCGTGCTTGGGCACCAGATCTCCCTACAGTATGAGCGTGACGGAGCCTTCTACCACACCTGTGGCGGCACCCTCATCGCGGTGGACTGGGTCATGACTGCGGGTCACTGCATCTCGTGAGTTCTCTCACTTGCCCCGTCCCTGCATGGGACCCAGGGAGCTGGGGACACTGGGTGACTGCAGGAGTGAGGGCGGTTACCCAGTCTGACCTCTTGGCTACCGGCAGGAGCGGCCGGACTTACCGGGTGGTGCTGGGCGAGTATGACCGGTCCGTGGTGGAGGGGACTGAGCAGGTGATCCCCATCAACAATGAGGACATCTTCGTGCACCCCAGGTGGAACTCCAACTGCTTGAGCTGCGGGTGAGTGAACACCCAGGCCCGGATCCTGCCTTCTCTATTCGTCCTGCCCTCACCACAGCCGAATCCGAGGAGGCTGCCAGGGACTGTGGTGTGGGTCCTGCAGCCTGTGTCCTGGTCCCACACATTCGGAGGGCTGGAGCCAGCAGAGCCTTTACAGACCATGGGCACCAAACATGTCTCCCTCCAGAGGGGACAGCAGGCTCTAGGGATGGGCAAGATCTCCCCGAAGGCTACTTGGCTAGTTGGTTTCAGAGCCCAACACTCCTCTGGCACCCGTCCCCCAAGGCCAGGGCTGCTCCATTCGACAGCCAGTGGGGGCAGCGCATGGAGGAGCACTGGCCCGAGAGTCGGGCTCCGGCATTAACCCTCTTGTGGCCTGGACAAGTCACTGGCTTTATCTGGCCCTCAGTTTTGCCATTTGTGAAAGGTGACCATGAACCAGGGCTTCCTGGGTGGTGGTGAAGGTCAAGGAGACAAACTTAAGACAATTTTAGGCAAAACTGTAAGTCTGAGCGACTCATCTTTTTTGGGTGAGTGGGTCACAGAAGGGTCCAAAACCCCTGAACATGCACCCTAGAGGGAAAGACCCAGACCCCGACCCACCTCCACAGGGCTGCTGGGGAAGGAGAGAGAAAAGTGAGACCCAGGTGGAATGGCTGAGTGACACGCTGGCAGATGAGGACAGCACTGGCTCTCACAGTGTGGCCCCCAGCATCAGCATCACCTGGGAACCGGTTAGAAATGTGGATTCTTGGGCCTCGGTCCACACCCACCGCATCAGCGGCTCTGGGCTGGGACCCAGCAATCTGTGTCTAACACGCCCTCCAGGTGATCTGATACTGTGCGACCCAGTGGGGTATAAGCAGAGGACAACTGTGAAGGTGAAGGGTCAGCATGAGTGAAGGGGCTGGAAGAGCTTGTTAAAGTTGCTGAGCCTTAGGAGTGGACTTGCTCTACAGCCACACCACCCTGAACGTGCCCAGTCTCGAGCGATCTCGCTAAGCAGGGGCGGGTTGGGTGGTAGCTGCGTGGGACACTGCTTGGCAATACTGGGTGCTGTAGCAGTGTAGGCTTTGGCTGGGTGCGGTGGCTCATGTCTGTAATCGCAGCTGTTTGGGAGGCCAAGGTGGAAGGATTGCTTAAGGCCAGGAGTTCAAAACCAGCCAGGGCAACATAATGAGACCCCCTCCCCCATCTCTCAAAAAAAAATGGATTGGGAGGCAAAGGAGCCTCAGGGCATCTCAGAGGTGGAACAGCCTGGAGCAAAGGCTGGAAGGGGCACTTGGACTTGGGCCAGCTGGAGGACCAGGCCCTGAGACTCTTCTCTCGTCCCCAGCAATGACATCGCCCTCATCAAACTCTCGAAAAGCGCCCAGCTGGGAGGCGCTGTCCAGGTTGCTGTCCTCCCCCCGGCTGGTGACATCCTGCCCAACGAGGAGCCCTGCTACATCAGTGGCTGGGGCCGTCTCTATAGTAAGTACTGACTCCTTTAGGTAAACAAAGGGACATGGGCAATAAAACATGGCCTGGGGGCTGGGGTTAAAGGTCACACCAGGACTGCTTCTGCTTTCTCTCATTTCTGTCCACCTGCAGCCATCTCTTCCATCCTCCTAAACATGAATGTTCCATTAGATATTTCTTAGTGCCTCCGTGCGTCAGGGGCTGGATGTAAGGGTGCTCAATGCATGTAGGACCACGTAACTGGCACAAGTAGGGAAGAGCTGTCAGCCTTGAAAGCCCCATTTTATGGGGCTCCTCTCATTGCACCGCAGACCCCCTGCTCAGTGCTCTCTGCTCCCACAGCCAACGGGCCACTCTCGAGCAAGCTGCAGCAGGCCGTGATGCCCGTGGTGGACTATGAGCACTGCTCCCAGTCGGACTGGTGGGGCTCAAGCGTGAGGAAGACCATGGTGTGTGCTGGTGGGGATGTCCGCTCCGGCTGCAATGTGAGTCACTCTTACCTGCCCAGGTGGTGCCGGGGGTACAGGGCCCGGGCTGCCTCTGCCGTTTGCCGGGAGGTGGAGGAGGTGCCTTGCCTGCTGACTCCATTCAGCCTCCAGGCCAGGCAGGATTTGGGGGACATCAGCGTAGTCCGGACACAGAGGCCAGGCCTGGGACTCAGGGCCCTGGATTCCAGTCCCAGCTCGCACACTGGCTTGAGCTGGAACAAGTCACAATCCTGCTCTAGTCCTCGGGCTTCCCCATACACAGGGCAAGGACACTGGCCACGCCCTCTAAAGTCACGTCAGCCCTGTGGTTCTGACGTCATAATTACTCATTAGGAATACGATCATTGTATAATAAGTGAGTATGAACCATAATGTTAGTAACTGACATGGTGTCAATGACGGGGACTACCTGTATCGGGTGCGTCCTGTCGCCAGGTATGCGAAGACCGTCCATCCTCCCATTCAGTCCCCACAGGTCCTGGGCAGGTTGTTCCCCATCACGAAAGAACAACTGAGTCTGAGAGATCAAGTAACATGGGGGTCTCTCAAAAATAAAGCTCAGAACCATTGAGTCCCTAAAGCTCAGAACCCTAATGCTCAGAATGACTCAGCCCCTCAACCTCTGCACTTGCAGGGTGACTCTGGAGGACCCCTCAACTGCCCTGCGACAGATGGCACCTGGGAGGTCCATGGCGTGACCAGCTTTGTTTCCTCCCGAGGCTGCAACACCCTCAAAAAGCCCACGGTGTTCACGCGAGTGTCGGCCTTCATTGACTGGATCGAGGAGGTGACGGGGACAGGGTGGTGGCCCTTCTACCAGGGGATGGGTGAGAAACAGCAGTCCCTGGGGAGGACCCCAAGGGACTCTAGAGGGTCAGCAAGTTGTGGAGGGGCCTTTGGGGACATTCCACAGGGGGTTTGGGGAGGTTTCCTGCTACAGCATGGCCCAAGAACGTGGTGGCTTCTGGGTGGAGCCTGGAACTGCTGCCAACTTCCTCATCTCATCCAGTGTCCTCTGACCTCGTCCTCTGTTGTCATGGAGGAGAGAGACATGGCAGACGGGGCCTGCCTGGGGGGACAGGTGACTAGTGAGCACCAAGGAGGAGGTGTGATAGCGCCGGGACGGGGTCCAGACCCAGGGATGGGTCAGACAGTGCCGATGGTGTCTGTGCTCTCAGTCGTAGCTTCAGCTCACAGACCACTTGCCCTTGTGCCGAGCACCGTGAGGAGAACTTCAGTGAACAGTTTAATCGGGAACCCCACGAGGTCAGGTCCATCATGACCCCAGCTATGCAGACGAGGACACAGGCTCAGGGGGTTCCTGTCACTCTCCCAGGGTCTCCCAGCAGGGCTAGGACATAAGCCCAGCTCCATGTGGCTTGAGAACCCTGCCCTAACTAGACCAACCTGTCCTCCCCACCTTTTTCCAGACCATAGCGAGCCACTAGGAGCCAGGCCGCCTGGCAGTGTGACCCCGCATCCTTCAGAAAGAATAAAGATCTCTTGAAAAGTTGCAAGTTGACTCTTTCTCCTTTTGTCGGCTCGCCTCTGGCCCTCTGATCCATCCCTAAAATCTTAGATCAGAGACACAGAGACAAGACCAGATCCAGCCCTCTCATGTGAAGGTGAGGAAGAAGAGAGGCCCAGAGAGAAGAGGGGGTTGCTATGGGGTGACCCTCCCTCCTGGTTTGCCTGGGACTCAGGGGTCCTAGGACAGTGGACTTTTTGTGCTAAAACTGGGAAAATCCCAGGAAAACTTGTATAAGTTGGTCACCTGGGTATACAGCACACCTAAATCAGTTGTCTTTCAATGCAGACATAAAACCATGGTAAAACGTGCAGAAAAACTGACGCTACTAACCTCTTGGGAGGTTCATGGTAGAGTGGGAAGGATCATTCTACTCTTCTTCCATTGATGGGCTAGGGAAGGAGGGCTGTGATCATTCGTTCATTCATTCAACAAGCATCCACTCCTTGTTTAAGGAGGGCTCAGAGGGGGCAGAAGACGTGGTTCCTGCCTTAAGTGGCTCATTATTTAAAGAGAAAGGAGCATACTGGAGTCATTCACTAAACATTTACCAGGTTCCTGCCTTGTGGCAGGTTCAGGGCGGGGAGCACAGCAGTGAGTCAGACAGCCTCAGGGAGAGCCCTTGCTGTGGGAGGGAGAAGCCCACACACAGGTACGCACAGATATGCACACACAGGTACATACAGGTACGCATACAGGTACATACAGGTACACACACAGGTACGCACGCAGGTACGCACGCAGGTACGCACGTAGGTACACACAGGTACACACGCAGGTACACACAGATACACAGGTGCACACACAGTGGCAGACACCAGGCTGGAGCCCAGCAAGGTGTTGCTGAAGTCTAAAGGGCTGCTGCTGGCAGACAGAAGCAACATGACACTGATGCATCCCTTTACCGAGTTTCTCCCGCACACTGTGAGAGGAAACGTGGTCCCAGCAAGGACACACGTATATGACTTTTAATAGCAATGTTCCATTTCAACCTTCCCTTTAAAAATTATACTTTTAGTTACAAGTAAAAGAGGGAAAACGTGAAGACTAATACAGCAAACACCCAGGTAGGTGTCCTCCCTTCAGAATTAACACATTTCACAATTTTCCTTCATATTTTTAAAAATAATAATTACAGTTAAGTGGAGGCCCCTTAATACTTTTCCTAAAGGTCCACACATGCTGGGTGTGGGGTTGTGCAGCAGACATTACTGCATTCCTATGGGCACACAATAGGTGAGCGCCTGCCTGCCCCCTGGAAGCTACGTTTGGCCATGGCGCTTGCTTGGGCCAAGGGGAAGCTTTGAGAGACAGGGCAATTTGCCAAGCTGTCATTCCCTCTGCCATGGCATCTGGTGGCTGCTGCTCAGCCTGGTCCCGGAGTGGGAGATGTGGAGTGGAGCCTCTGGCAACCCCTGATGGATGTGTCACACAACCAAGAAATAAACTCTGTTGTCACAAGCCACTAAGATGTTGGGTGTGGTTTGTTACAGCAGCATGGACCTAACCTATCCTGACTGATAAAATGAGTTTGGTGTTTATCCTTTTGCTCTGTGCTGTCATATTTTTATCATAAATATAAACACCCACATATAATAAAATGCATTGTTTTGTTTTTAAAAAATGCATGCCCAGCTTCATGCCGTGTGGGTTGTCCTGCAACCCGCTACTTCCCTTTAACGTTATGTTTTTGAGGTCTGGCCATGCTGCTTACATGTCGCTAGCTCATGGCTGCTGGTTTGCAGAGTAGCCTGTTGTGTAACAACACTAGTTATTGTCCTTTATCCCCTGTTCATGGCCATTTAGAGAAGGGCCACTCTTTTGTGGTTACAGGCCTTCAGTGGGTGTCTTTGGACATGTCTCCAGGTGGCCATGAGTGAGAGTTTCTCTAGGTATAGTCCAAGAACTGGAGTTGCTGAGTGGGAGGGCGTGGTCATTGTCAACCTCATCAATTGCCATATTGCTCTCCACATAGCTGTATCAGCAATTCTTCTTAAAATTCCCTTTTTTTCTTTCCCCATCCATGCTCCACCCTATTACATATTGCCCCACATTTTTCTCTACAACCACCCTGGCATCTTCCAAACCCTTCCCAGATTTCCTTCCCCAGCCCTTCCCTCACTGGCGGCTCTTACAAAAAGCCAAGAACTGCGTCTGGGGGAGGCCCAGAGTGGAGGGCTGGAAGAGCAGCCGCCATCAAGCAGAGCAGAGAACCTCTGCTTCCTGGAGGGTAGGGGGGGATGGGCAGGAAGTTCCTAGAAACTTCCACATACTTAACCCTTTTTATTGATGTCAGACAGAGCCCCGGTGATGTGGAGATGTCAGGCCCTGCCAAGGCACGGCAGAGTTGCGAGGGCTGAGAGTGTCAGGGAAAGGCCCGGTGGATGCATCTCTCCAGAGTTTTTTCAGGCGGTCAGCGGGCGTGTGGGTTGGGACTCACACCAACTCTGGGGCTGGCCAAGTGGCCCCCGGGGACCTGGACCAGCCTCAGGGGGGGGCTGGGAGGCTGGTAGGACTCGGTTCTCACCACACTAGGAAGCAGACAGTCAGGAGACCTTGCCTGAACTGCCAACAAGGTTAGCCAACAATTGAATGGCTGTTTTTTATTTATTTATTCTATTTTTATTTTATTTTTTTTTAACAGAGTCTCACTTTGTTGTCCAGGCTAGAGTGAGTGCCGGTGGCGTCAGCTAGCTCACAGCAACCTCAACTCCTGGGCTCAAGCGATCTCCTGCCTCAGCCTCCCGAGTAGCTGGGACTACAGGCACAAGCCACCATGCCCGGCTAATTTTTCTATATATATATTAGTTGGCCAATTGATTTCCTTTCTATTTTTTTTTTATTATAGTAGAGATGGGGGTCTCGCTCAGGCTGGTTTTGAACTCCTGACCTTGAGCAATCGCCCGCCTCGGCCTCCCAGAGTGCTAGGATTACAAGCGTGAGCCACCGGGGCCGGCCTTGTTTTTATTTTTTTAAAAAATTTTTAATTGTGTCTCCCACCCCTAAATTTCTTATCTTCTCAATTTTCCTGTTTTTAATCTCCATGTCTCAATAATTCATATCCTTTAAAACCCATATAGCTTATAAATTTTTTGACAATGATTACAGGGTGCAAAGCCAACAGTTTTTATTCTTTTGTTTTCTTTCCTTCTTCTTCTTTTTTTTTTTTAATTTCACACAGTCTCCCCTCTGTTGCCCAGCTAGAGTTCAGTGACATCATCATATGCCACAGCCAACTTCAAAGGCCAGGGTCAAGTGATCCTCTGCCTCAGCCTCCTAAGTAGCTGGCACTACAGGTGGTGCCACCATGCTGGCTATTTTTTTCTATTTTCAGTAGAGATGGGGTCTCGGTCTTGCCAGGCTGGTCTCCGAGCACTGAGATGGGCCTGTTTTTGTTTTCTAAATCATGAAAAAATCAATAGTCTCATTTTTGGAAAAGCATAATGTCATACTTCCATCCTTTTAAAAATAAATTAGGGTATTGTCCTCCAGGTTTAGGGCTAAAGTCATTTTAAAGATGATAAAAAAAAAAAAATAGGCCAAGTGACATGGCTGAGGCCAGTAATCCTAACACTCTGGGAGGCCAAGGCAGGAGGATCTCTTCAGGCCAGGAGTTCCAAATTAGCCTGAGCAAAAGGGAGACCAATGTGTACGAAAAATAGAAAAATTATCCAGGCTTGGTGGCATGTGCATTAGTTCCTGCTACTGGGGAAGCTGAGGCCAACAGATCGCTTGAGCCCAGGAGTTTGAGGTTGCTGTGAGCTACGACGATGCCACTGCACTCTCTACCCGGGGTGACAGAGCAAGACTCAGTCTCAAAAAAGGAAAAACAATACAAACAATAAAGAATCAGTGTTGCAATGCGCTCTTTTTAATCAATATCAACAACTTTATTCTCATTTTCAGATCATTAAAGTGTCAACAGTCATTCTTTTATTCCTAAAAGTCAACAATTCCATTTTCTGCCGGGCCTGGAGGCACTCTAGCCTTGGTGATAAAACAAGACTCTGTCTTAAAGAAAAATCCATTTTGTTTTCCTTTTTTAGAATATTAATATTACACTGGCCACATTTTAGAGATTTCCACTTTGGGAAATAGATTTTTAAAAAAACCCACAGCAGCTGCCATTTCGGTGATTCCTTCCACTTCTTCTGGTTTCCTTTTTTGCATTTAGAAAACCGATCCACAGTCAGATTCAAAGCACAGGGACAGGGCACCTGCCGGTATCCTGCGTGAGGCGTGGGGGAGAGGAAGACCAGCCAACTTCTGCCCAGCCCACAGTCTAACTGGGACGCTGGTCCCCCAAGCAGGGGTGGTGACGCGGTGTGATGTTCTCACGGAGGCCAGAGGGACGTGGGCGCAGGGAGCTGGGGCCACCCTGGGGTGCGGAGGCTGGAGCTGTCGAGGGCTCTCACATCCCGATCATTAAGGCACCGAGGATTCCTATTGCTATCACAGGGGCGTCCACCGAACCTTCTCGTGTCAATTAACTCCAAAGACATAGTGCTGGGCAACCTTGTCCTCTAAAATCAGATACTGTCAGAAACTTTTCCGTTTGAAGTCACATCAGGAAGGACGGAATGTCCCACTCTTGTCTGGCGGGGTTGGAGCCAGGTTTGACGCAGAGAAACAGCCTGGATTTCCAACCCAGGTGCAGAGCTTCTGATAAGGATTTTTTTTTTTTTTAACACAACAGTGTGTATTTATCTTTACTTCATGGTGTCCAAGGCAACAAGACTATGAGTTTGATACTCAGCTCAAGGCAGAGGTTAACCCTCTACACTCAGCTACGTTTGCTCTGAGCCTATCAACACTGCTTGATTTCAATTTCACCTACATTCCGCCCTTCCCCACATCCTATGATAAGCTTGTTTTCCTTCTGTTTGGTGAGACACCCACAGCTCCCTTGCTGCATCACAGTAATAAACCTAACTTTGCTCAACTACAGCTGTGCCCCTGGTAGTCTTTGTCAGATTGGCTTCGTCATAA